ATGGGCCAGGACAAGAAGCCATAACCGCCGATCGCCCCGCCCCAGTCGAACAGCTGTTCAGACTTTCCTGATAAGGCTGGAGGGGAGCCTGGGACCCAGAGCTGGGCTGACCGGCCAGTCCCTGACCCGGGACTGGATGGGAGCCAACACTCCTGGAAGGGGAAAGGCCCCGTATCCAATTCCCCACCCGTGAGCCAGGCAGTTCCTTCCCTGAGTCGGGGAGAGAACCCAGTTGTCCTGGCTTCTTCCCTCCCCTTCCCGCTCTAACCACCAGCCCCCACTCCCCTCCCAGAGCCGGGGAGAGAACCCAGGAGTCTTGGCTCCCAGCCCCCCCTGCTTTAACCCACCAGCCCCCACCCCCCTCCCAGCACCGGGAGAGAACCCAGGAGTCCTGGCTCCCAGCCCCCCTGCTCTAACCCACCAGTCCCCATTCCCCTTCCAGAGCCAGAGAAAGAACCCAGAAGTCCGGGCTCCCAGCCCCCCTGCTCTAACGTACCAGCCCCCAATCTCCTCCCAGAGCCGGGGAAGAACCCAGGAGTCCTACCCTGCCCCTCCCATTGCCCCCCCACAGGAAGTGGTAGGAATTCCCAGCCCCACGTGACTCCTCTGGAATGTGGTGACGTCACCGAGGGGTCCATTAAAAAAGTTTTTTGGGAGTTAGGAGAAAAAAAAAACTTTTGTGGGGAGATCGGAGCTGGCGGGGTCTGGAACCTCCGGGATCCTCCCCCCGCCCTCCACCGGGCCTGGGACCCTCCCCCGCCCCACGAGTGGGGCAGAACAGGAGAGGTTGGGACCCCCCCCCAGCTGGGAATCCCCCATCGGAGCCAGGTAAGAATCGGGTTCCCCCGCCCCGCAGGAATTCCCCCCACGTGATCAGAGACACCCCCCTTCCCTCTCCCCGGGCCAGGGACCCCATCCCCCTTAGCACCCCCACGTCCAGGGTCCCCTGTCCGGACCTCTCTCCAGCCCATTCTGCCCCTGGGAACCCAGGAGTCCTGGCTCCCAGCCCTCCTGCTCTAACCCACCAGACCCCACTCCCCTTCCAGAGCTGGGGAGAGAACCCAGGAGTCCTGGCTCCCAGCCCCCCCTGCTCCAACCCACCAGCCCCTACTCCCCTCCCAGAACCGGGGAGAGAACCCAGGAGTTCTGGCTCCCAGCCCCCCCTGCTCCAACCCACCAGCCCCTACTCCCCTCCCAGAGCCGGGGAGAGAACCCAGGAGTCCTGGCTCCCAGCCCACCCCCCTAACCTCTCTGCACCCTTCCTCCCCCCCGCAGGTCCCAGAGATGTCTGGTCCCACCTGGCTTCCCCCCAAGCAGCCGAGCTCTTCGGGCTCTCCCGGCGTCTCGGTCTTGGCTCCGGCGCTCTGCAAACCCCAGAAGAAATACACCTCGGTCCCCGCGCCCCCCAGGCCGGCCCTCCAGGAGCAGAACGGGGGTGGCATGAGCGGGCCGGGCTACCAGCCGGCGGGTCCTGGTAAATACCCGTTTTCCACCCTCCCAGTACCCGATTGGTCTGATCCAGGTGGGGGGCAGGGCTGGTTGGGGGGGGAGAATCTGGGGAGCGGTGGAGGGGAGAATACAGAGGGAGGGGGCCTGTGGGTCTGACGCATTGCTGTCTCCCCTCTAGACAGCTTCCCGTCCCGTTCCCTGCCCTCTGGTTTCCGCCCCCCGGCTGGCTCAGAGTGTCATTACCCATCACCCCCTGGAGCCAAGGATGAGCCGGGGGCACCCTGGGGTGGCCCCCCCTCTGCCGGACGCGGGTACCACATGCAGGTAGGAGGGGGGGAACAGGGGCCCCTGGGGAGTGGGGAGCTGGGACAGGACTTGGGGTCCCTGGTGGGGCAGGAACTGGGGGGTTGAATTGCCTGGTGTATGACCCGTCCTGCGGGGGGAGGGGCGCCCTCCAACCTGTCCTGGCAATCAGGCATTTGGGGTGCCGGTGGAAGGGGGGTGACTGACGTCCCACGCAGCCCCGTGTCCTGCCTCCGCGGGGCCTTGGAGAAGGCCTACATTTCCCATAATTCACCTGCCTTGGTCATGTGGGGCACATGGGAAGGCTCCTTCCTGACCATCTCCGGCCCTGGAGCATGAGGCTTGATTCCTGTTACCCTCCGGAACTACCTGCCGCTAGGACAGCAGCTGGACTGCATGATCCCAGCTGACAGGCCTGGGTAGTACCTTACAGCCCCGCTCTCCCCACATCCTCATTGTCTGTTTCCTTAGGGGTCTGCCCTAGACCCAGGGCCCCACCGCCCCTCCAGCATCGACGCCCAAATAGACTCGCTCACCAGTATGTTGGCTGATATGGAGAGCGCCGGCCCGCAACGCCGGGGGGAGAGGCAGGTAAACAGCCCCCCCAGGAGGGTTCTGGGGGACGGGGGTGTTGATGCGTTGGGTTTTATTTGGCACAGTCTCTCCCGCCCTACTGAGATTTCAGTCCCTATAATCACGTCCTTCCGAGTACCTTCTTGTCTGTCTCCTGCCTACCGCATGGCCACTCCAGCACCTGATATCTCTCGAACCGGTGGACACAGACTCCCGCGTGTGATGCTGTTGGAAAGTAGAGCTCCTGGGTTTTCTGGTGGTATCACTCACCACTTTCTCCCTCCCCCAGTTCCCCAGGAATCGGCCACCGAAAATCACGTTCCAACCAGAACCTCGGGGTGAGGGAACTGGAGGTGGCTCACGGGATCACAGTGGGCCCTCCTTTATTGCCCAATATCTCCTGAACCAATGGGCGGAGAGATGAGCGCCAGGCACCGTTGGAAAGCTAAGACTTTAAGCTTTCCAACGGGGTAGGACATGTGCCCCCGTCCTTCATGGTTCACAAGACACTGATGGTTTCACTGAGTCACTGTTGGCCTAGCAAGAGTTGACGATCAACATGGACTAGTTGGGTTCCTTGGAGAATGATGGGTGTTTCAATGCATTTAGGGTTGGAGTGGATTTGCAGGCTGGGGGGCTGGTAATATGGGGTCCCCCCAAAGCCAGGAGGAGTCCCCCAAAGCCCCACACCAGCCTACATCTCATCTTTCCTCTCCTTTCTTCTCCAGAACTTCGACTCCGTCCCGTACCCGTCGGCCTCTGGCCCCCCGCAGCCCGGACCCCCCAAAATGCCTGGCCCCTACAAGCCGGGCTCCTTCACCCCCAAGAACTCGCCCTACGGTCCATCGCCCCAACCTGCCACTTCAACGGCTTCCTCTGGGCCGTCTCCCCAGTATGGGGCTGGCTACCTGCGGGTGCCACCCGGGCATAAGCCCTACCCGCAGCCCATGCCCGCGTCCTACACCACATCGGCTGGGCCGGCCTTTAACGTCCAGGTCAAAGTTGCCCAGCCAGTGCTCGGTTACGGTCAACCGAGGCATCGGGCTGAGCAGGCCTATGCGCCCCCCTCGCCCCGAGCTGGCCGCGGGGCCCAGTACGCCTTGGAGCAGGGCGCCAGGGGGGAGGAGGGCTGGTATCTGGAGCCGGGGGGTTACGGCAAGAGGCCAGGCAAGGGGGAGAGCTATGGGGCTGGGGGGCTGGCCAAGCCGGCGGAGGTGCCTGGGGGTCCGTACCAGGCTGCCACCGGGACCCTGGGCAAGGAAGAGACGGCGGTGACAGGAAAGGTGCCCCCTGGTGGTGGAGGAGGATACCAGCACCAGGTAACATGAGAGGGAATGGGACGGGAGTGTGAGGAGGGGCAGGACCCCTGGGTCCTCTGGGAGGGGAGTGGGGGCTGGTGGCTTAGAGCAGGGGGGGCTGGGAGCCAGGACTCCTGGGTTCTCTCCCCAGCTCTGGGAGGGGAGTGGGGGCTGGTAGTTAGAACAGGGAGGGGCTGGGAGCCCGGACTCCTGGGTTCTTTCTCTGGCTCTGGAAGGAGAATGGGGGCTGGTGGTTAGAGCAGGGGGGGCTGGGAGCCAGGACTCCTGGGTTCTCTCCCTGGCACTGGGAGGGGAGCAGGGGCTGGTGGGTTAGAGCAGGGGGGTGCTGGGAGCCTGGACTCCCGGGTTCTTTCCTGCCGGGGATTGTACCCACTCATGGGGGGGGGCAGATCAATGTGAGCGAAGCCTCCAGCCGAGCTCTTGCTCCTCCAGGCCCCACCGAGCCGCCCGGAGGAGGAGCTGGACAGACTGACCAGGAAGCTGGTGCACGACATGAATCACCCGCCGGCGGGGGAGTACTTCGGTGAGGGGAGCAGGGGGGCCGAGTCGGGTAGGGTTACCATATTTAAAAAATAAAAAAAGAGGACACTCCATGGGGCCCCGGCCCCGCCCCTTTCCCAGCCCCGGCCCCGCCCCAACTCCCGCGCCTTCCCTGTCCCAACTCTGCCCCTTCCCCAAAGTCCCCGCTCTAACTCCGCTCGCTCCCTCCCCTGAGCGCCCGCATTCCCTCTCCTCCCTCCCAGCCACGCGAAAAGGGCTGCCCGAGCGCTACCGGCTTCACGGTTTGCCGGGTAGCCCCCAGACCCTGCGCCCCCGGCCGGCGCTTCCTCTCCCGTGCTCCGGGGGCGCAGGGTCCGGAGGTATGGGGGCTGCCCGAAGCCGGTAGCGCTCGGGCAGCTCGGCTCTTACAGAGCCCAGGAGTCAGGGAGCACAGCAGCCCCCGGCGCCCGCTCTAAGGGAAGCCAGGGAGTATTTTCCCGGACACGTTCGGCTTTTTGGAAATTCCCCCCGGACGGGGGTTTGAGGACCAAAAAGCTGGACATGTCCGGGAAAAAACGGACGTATGGTAACCCTAGAGTCGGGGGGGGGGGGAGTAGGTGGTTGGGGGGGGGGGGGGGGGGTGCGGGGGGGGGATGGGGTGATTGTGGCGGTGGGGGGAAGGGTCAGCGGAGGAGATGGGGGCCCCCATGTGACCCCGCCCCCTTTGCCCGTCTCCCCAGGGCGCTGCGCCCGCTGTGGGGAGAACGTGGTGGGGGACGGGACGGGCTGCGTGGCCATGGACCAGGTCTTCCACGTGCCCTGCTTCACCTGCACCACCTGCCACGCCCGGCTGCGGGGCCAACCCTTCTACGCCATGGAGCGGCGGGCGTACTGCGAGGCCTGCTACGTCGTGAGTGCCGGGGGGCTGGACTCCTGGGGTCTCTCCCCGGCTCTGGGAGGGGAGTGGGGGCTGGTGGTTAGAGCAGGGGGGGCTGGGAGCCCGGACTCCTGGGTTCTCTCCCCGGCTCTGGGACAGGAGTGGGGGCTGGTGGGTTAGAGCAGGGGGCGCTGGGAGCCAGGATGCCTGGGTTCCCTCCCTGGCTCTGGGAGGGGAGTGGGGGCTTGTGGGTCAGAGCAGGGGGCGCTGGGAGCCAGGACTCCTGGGTTCTCTCCCCAGCTTGGCGAGGGGAGTGGGGTCGGGTGGGTTACAGCTGGGGGGGGGGGGCTGGCCCCAGACCCACGGCTCTCCCCTCCCGCCAGGTGACGCTGGAGAAATGCTCCAGGTGCTCCAAGCCCATCCTGGACCGGATCCTGCGGGCCATGGGCAAGGCCTATCACCCCCAGTGCTTCACCTGCGTCGTCTGCCACCACTGCCTGGACGGGGTCCCCTTCACCGTGGACGCCACCAGCCAGGTCCACTGCATCGAGGACTTCCACCGGTACGGCCCCGCCCCCTAGCCTGTATCCCCGCCCCCTAGCCTGTGGCCCCGCCCCCTGCCAGCCCGGCCCTGAGCTCTCCTTTCCCCTCTCTCTGCCCCGCAGGAAGTTTGCCCCACGCTGCTCCGTGTGTGGCAACGCCATCATGCCCGAGCCCGGCCAAGAGGAGACGGTCAGGATCGTGGCCCTGGATCGGAGCTTCCACATTGGATGCTACAAGTGTGAGGTGCGGGAGCGGGGCTGGGAGCCCGGATGCCTGGGTTCTCTCCCTGACTCTGGGAGGGGAGTGGGGGCCGGTGGCTTAGAGCACGGGGGGCTGGGAGCCAGGACTCCTGGGTTCTCTCCCCGGCTGTGGGAGGGGAGTGGAGTCTGGTGGGTTAGAGCAGGGGGCTGGGAGCCAGGACTCCTGGGTTCTCTCCCCAGCTGTGGGAGGGGAGTGGAGGCTGGTGGGTTAGAGCGGGGGGGCTGGGAGCCAGGACTCCTGGGTTCTCTCCCCAGCTCTGGGAGGGGAGTGGGGACTGGTGGTTAGAGCAAGGGGTGCTGGGAGCCCGGATGCCTGGGTTCTAATGGACTCTGTCCCCCCGCCCCAGGAGTGCGGGCTGCTGCTGTCATCGGAGGGCGAGGGCCGGGGCTGCTACCCCCTGGACGGGCACATCCTTTGCAAGTCGTGCAGCGCCCGGCGCATCCAGGAGCTCTCCTCGAAGATCACCACCGACTGCTGAGGGCTCGGGGGGCTCAGCTCCCCACCCACCCCCTGGTCTCTGCCCTGGGTGGGGGCTCTGTCTGCCCTCACTGCCAGCAGCTGCTTCAGTATCAGTCAATTTGGGGTCCCCCCGCACCCTGTTTCTCCCATCCCCTAGGGGGCAAAGAACCTGCCTTGTGCCCCCCAGATTCCTGCCCCTGGCTATGTCGGCATCTAATATTGGGGTCTCCCTGCACCCCACTTCTCCCATCATTTTGGGGGGCAGAGCCCCCCATTTCTTGCTACCCCCTAGCTCCATTGTCATCTATTAACCCCTCTCTGCCCCCCCATTTCTCCCTTCACTTTGGGGGCACGTTTGCCCTCCCAGAGTCCCTGCTTTGCCAACAGCTGTTAATTTGGGGTCCCCTCTGCCCCTTGCCTCCCCCCAATTCCTCAGCCCTGGCCCCGAAGTCGAGACAAGGGGGGGGGGAGGTGGCAGCAAAAGGAGGGGTGGAATTCACCCTGCTCTAATATAGGGGTGAGGGGGGACCCCCCTCCCCAGCTGGTATAAAGCAGGACGCAGGGCTTGGTGGCTGGATAGGAAGTGAGCCTGTCTCTTTGCCCCGCCCCCATTTCTCCTGGCCCTGCCCCCAGCCTCCTGGCCCCGCCCCCTCCCTGGGAAGGTTCTCTCCTGCCCCCTCCCCTCAGCTGAAATATCAGCTGTGCCCTGTGTGTGGGGAGGGGGAGGGGCTGCCCCTTAATTCCCCAGCAGGTCTCCCCAATATTTCTTACTTGGGGGGGGGGGTTGTATTTCTCCCCACTCCAGGGATTCAGAGCCCAGTTGATTGGGGGGGAGTGCTCAGGATTTGGGGTTTCTCCCCTTAGTTTCTAGGTCAGTTTGTTTTTTGGAGGGTCACGGGGGGGGCTGCCCCTCCCCCGAAGGAGCCCTGACTCTCCACCCGTTTTGGGGGTGGCCCTTTGGACCCTAACAACCCCCCAGCTGTGTATCAGAATGCCTGGGTTCCATGCCCCGCTCCTGGGAGGGGAGTGGGGGTGGGGGTGGGGGGGGCAGGACTCCTGGGTTCTATCCCTGGCTGGGGGAGGGGAGGGGGTTCCTTCATCACCATTAACGATTTCCATTGTAAGCTTCACCCTCCCCCCCCGACTCTATAAACCCCCCTCCCCCTTTCTGGGCCGGGGGGATGGATTAAAGATTTGTTTTTTCACTCTTGGCAATACAATGTCCTGCTTTCTTTTGTTCAGAGGCGTTACTGGGGGGGAGTGGGGGCTGGTGGGTTA